AAACGGTGCATTTTAGTGCAGGGCATCCCGGGTTTGGGTGAGCCGGCAGGCTTGAGCCCATTAACATCCCCCCTCAAGATGGCGAGTAAATATTTTTTGCTCTGATCTTGATCATGTGTTACTTGAGCAACCAGCTAGACATGGTGAAAACATCTGCAAGTTGTTGGTTGTTATTTATATGTTTTATTATCACGCTTCCATCTTGAATTTTTTTTCTGATCAAATGACAGTCTAGTTTAATATGTTTCGTGCATTCGTGATAAATTAGATTGGCGACTATATGAATAGCTGCTTTTTTATTGCAATAAAACATTGTTGTTGTTGGATGTTCAATCCCAAAATTATCTAAAAGATATCTAATCCAGGTCAATCCACAACATATGCTTACCATTGTTCTATATTCTGCTTCTGCAGAAGATCTGGAAATAGTATGTTGCTTCCAAGAAGTACATAGTACCTTGTGATGAATCTTCTTGTATCAGGACATCTTGCCTAATTGCTATCAGTATATACATTTAATTTTAAATTGGAGGAGATGGAGTAAAATAAGCCCTATCTTGGATATCTTTTTATATACCTTAGCACCTTGTATGCAACATTCAGGTGGTCATTTCTAGGGCTTTCTATAAAGGATCTCAAAAGGTGTTTTGTTATTTATAACTGGTGAGAGAATTCTATTAATGAGATAAATTGCAGTTAATATGAAATCATTCCAATACTTTGTGTCCAGACCGCTTAGGAATTATAGCGCTCTGGCAGCATTAAGAATATGTTGATGCTTCTTTTCGATTCTGCCATTCTGTCATGGTGTCTCAACACAAGAAGTTTGATGCAAAAATCCCTTATTCAACACAAAATCTCCTCATATTAAAGTTCTACTACTATTATTATCAAAAGAAAGTTTATTAATCTTAGTCAAAGGGCAAACATAACAAAGTTCACAATTGTTTGACTTTATTATATTTGAATGAAAAATTGATTTAAATTGTGTAGGATGTCTAAGCCTATAGTGCCACAAATCAATTTTTTTTGCTCCTCTAGTGCCCCAGAAAGCTGCTCAAGTGAAGGCTGATCCTGTTGTCTCTTTCAATGGTGTGGTGGAATTGAGCTGATATAATCCCTTCTTAACTCCACTTCAATTGTCCTTCAAGTCAAAAGGTCCTGGATAACACAATGTTTTTGTGAAAAGCAAACAACAATACAATCTTGTGTTAGCCTTCTTGTAGAAATTAAATTGAAATTAAATAATGGCACACATAATATATTTTTAAGAACTATGTCGTTACATGACTTAATTGCCCCGACATGTGAGGCATCAACCTTTACACTATTAGGCAATATAACTTCAAAAATGGTATTTGATGTGATTTCAGTATCTAATTGTTATATGTGAACAATGTGATATGATGCTCCAGTGTCAATTATCCAGGGAACATACACATTTTCCCTTGAGGCCTCTACCCCTTTGACTATTCAGGTACCTTATAACATATCTCAACAGTGTCCTGGAATGTTGTAGTTAGAAGAAATGGCTTTTCTTGGATTGCTTTAAAACACCTCTCTAATGAGTGTCCACTTCTTTTGGAATGAGTACAATAGTATTTATCTTTATTGAAATTTCTAAATTTTCTTGACATGTTTGTTTCCTTAACACTAAAAGCCATAACTTTGTTGGTTACTGAGTCCATTGAAATTTCTCTCCTATTTTCTTCTTACTCTGTTGTTGAAAATACATCTCTTAGGCTAGACAAGGGTTTTATCATTAAAATTTGTGCTTTCATTGCCTTGTAATGGTCCAAACCCATTAAAATTTTCATCACGTGGTCTCTCTCTTGGTATTCTTGAATAGCTTTTAATCCACCTCATGCACAATTTATAATAGACTCATAGTTAACTAATTCATCAATTAGAGTTTTCAGTTTTGAGTAGTACACCCTAACTAGTTCTTGGTTATGTGAGAGGTTCATGATAGCCTGCTTTATCTCAAATATTTTGGAGGTATTTTGTTGACCAAAAGTCTCTTCGAGGTCAACCCAAAAGTGATGAGTAGTTTCTGCATAAATTATGTCGGCCTTAGTATCAGGGGCTAAAATAGTTTGTATCCATGTGATAACAATGTCATTACATCATATTCAATGTCTTCTTTGTGGATCATTGGGATCCTTTGGCTCAAGTAGGGTTCCATCTATGAACCTTAATTTGTTTTGAATACTTAAAGCGCAATGCATGAATCTGACTCAAGTGTAATAAATGGTTATGTTTAGCAATTGTGGGACCAAGATCATGCTTGAGTTTAGAGTTTTGTCTAGATAATATGGGCTATCCGAATCTGTATGATCCAGAGCCATTACAGGCAACATACTTGGGTTTTGATTCAAAAAATAAGGAGTTTTTCATGTTATTCATTTCTGATTCTACACTTTCTCCTTTCTTTTTTTTTTTATTTATAAATTTTAGATTTGGGTTTAGGTCAACCCGAATAAATTCTTTCCCTTTTCTCCTGTTTTTTTTCAAATTTAAACTAAATCGATTTTTTAATAAATTTTTACTCTGATACCATGTAAAAAAATCAATATCTCCTATTCTACGTACACCGACAATTTAAAACTCTAAGGTTTGCATTCAATAATGTATCAAATCATAAACAGAGGGAAGAAAACTAATACATAATACCTCTACTCTATTGGAGAGGCAATTTACTTCAATAACGCACGAAATATCCAAACTGATCACCTGCAAAACGAGAAAAACACAGTAGATAGGGTTTTGAAGGGTGGCGGTTGAAGGTTGAAAAACAAAAATGGAGTCGTTATTTATGCTCGTCCCACCTGATGAGTGTGCACCAAAACGCACCGTATCACTCTCTTAGTTAGTGAAACGGTGTGTTTTGGTGCAGGACATTGGGGGGTTTTGAGCGAGTAGGCAAGCTTGAGCCCGTTAACAACTTAATTAATTATTTATCTAAATAAATTATGTTAAAATTTGTTAACTCTACTTTTTTAAAAAAAAAAAATTACATGTAAAGTTAATCATGATAAAACAAGTTAGAATATACATTCATATATTCTAACTTGTACAATACGCTTATTTATTATTATTATTTTTAAATGTGATACCATTGTAGCACCATAATTTCATTATTAAAAATATTTTATTTTAATAAATAAATATTTTGGATTAACTAACTTCTACATAGGCTAATAAATTATTCTTATTTTAATTTAAAAATGATTAAGACTTCTTTAATTTTTATACAAGAGTGAGAAAGACGTATTACGTATGTTTAAGAAATGTGGTTGGCATAAACACGTGGCCACTTTTGTAATCGATAAGTTTAGTTAATAGCAAGTTGATTAACGAGGAAAATAAAATAGTTAATACCAAGTTGATTCGAATAAAGTTTAACTCGGTCCGATATAAATTATGAAAATAATGGCCAGTCAAGTTATTATTATCATTGTCCACCTAAAAAATGTCATGTATATATATATATATATATATACATACATATATAATTCATTACTGTACTCTAAAATTAATAATTGAAGTAAGTTACTTTTAATTAGAGTAAAATAATGGTAAAATACATTTAGTTAGATTAATTTAATTAATTATGTTTAACCCTAAGATTCAATGATTACATATTTTATAAAAAATTATGAATAAATCTTAATTTGAGATAAAATTTAGAAATATATAAAACATGAGTACTTATGTAATATAATAATGAAAAATAAATAAACATGTGTATTTTTAATTTATTAAAGAAACTAATAGCAAGAGAATCAAATATATTTAATTTATTTTAATCGGTGAAATACAATAATATTTTAATTAGTGAAATAAAATTTCTTGTTTAATTTTTTTTAAAAAAGGTAAGAGGTTTGGATAAACTGCAATTTCTTTTTTTTCTAAAACTTTTTTTCTTCGTGGAAAAGTACAATACAGTTTTCAGCTGAACAAAATGTGAAACCGTAGCAAAAAACAAAAAGAAAATTAAAATAAAGCCAACGGAACCGCATTGCACTAAATGCCACAGATCCTCTGGGAAATTATTCTCTACTCTCCATTTTCGGTACTCCCTCTTCGCCAAAAAATATAAAAAAAAAAATGCTTCTAGTTGTTGTACCTAGTGTACACCTTTTCATCTAAAAGCAATTTTAGCCCATTAATGTACAACACTATACAGCACATAATCGATTAATTACAAGGCCAAAAATGGAGTTGACTGAATGCTTTGGCGTCCCATTCTTAGTTATAAGTTCTCGTAACTCCCGAGCCGTTGTCGTTTCTTCTTTAGTGACGCTAAACAACGGCCGGAACGGCAACCGAGACAGCCTCGAAGCTCCATGTTGACGGCGATGAATGTGATGCTGATGGCTCGGTCGATAATGTCCATAAACGACTTCGTTTTTGAGGCCGACGATATCCCGTTCGGTACGCCCTGGTGGTTCGTCGACGCCGGTATCTCTTGCCTGTTGGTGCTTTTCGCGGGAATCATGTCCGGCCTTACCTTGGGGCTCATGTCCATGGGTCTTGTTGAGCTCGAGATCCTCCAGCGAAGCGGCACCTCCACTGAGAAGAAGCAAGCCGGTAATCTAACAACTCTGCGTTTTTATATTTTTAAAAAAGAAAGGAGTTATTCTGATTATTATGAGATTATAAGTACTTGGATTAGGGTTTGGTTTGTTGATAATGTCACCGTTGATGTTTTTGCTTGGAGAGCGTTTTAGGTTCCTACTGGTACCAAAGGAGAGTGTTGTTTCTTGTTATGTATGTATAGTAATTCTTGATTTCTCTTCATGAAGCTATTATCCTACCTGTTGTTCAGAAGCAACACCAACTCCTTGTTACTCTGCTTCTGTGTAATGCAGCTGCCATGGAGGTATTCATTTCTATTTTTTGAATTATTATTCAATAATCTAAATATGGAGATGGATTCACTCTTTCCTTTGTTGATACTCTTATGTCAGTGGACGTTACGAGGAATAAGAGTTATATTGTTTCGCTGATTTGTGTTCTGTTCTTGATTTTGCTTCTTCAGGCCCTTCCTATATATCTTGATAAGATTTTTCATCCCTTTGTGGCTGTTTTGCTGTCCGTGACATTTGTTCTAGCTTTTGGAGAGGTACGTTGACTTCCCATTTTTAGGTTCTTGTTTCCTGATATTCTAGCCCATACGAGTCTTGTTCATGATCTGCAATGTTGCTTCAGATCATTCCACAAGCTATCTGCTCTCGGTATGGACTTGCTGTTGGTGCAAATTTTGTGTGGCTAGTCCGCATTCTGATGATCATTTGCTACCCAATTTCTTATCCCATTGGAAAGGTAATCTCGTACAAAGTTTTTTAATTTTGACTCTGTTCTGAAAATACAGCTGATAGACATAGAGACATAGATAGAGGTAAACATTTGTAATGTTCTCTTGGTAAACATCAAAAAGTGCACGTCTATCTAGAGCATAATCATTTTAACTGATATGTTTCAAATTTATTACTTCATGACTAAGATACTTCACATTCATTGCATAAAAATTGAGATTGCACCTCTTAGTTCTCAATTAAAGTGTCTAAAAAGGAATTGATCCCTACTTCAAGAATGTCCGTTTGTCCAACAAAACAGTAGCTTCATCATTTCCGTACAGACTTAATTTCTTAATATTTACCATAGTGAAACAGATAAAAAAAGTTGTCTGCTTATGAAGCCAAGGTGATATACTATTTGTTTATAATGATTAACAAAAAAGAAACCCTTCGTTTTTTCAGTACCTTGAACAGTGCGCCGCACAAGTATCTAGATATTCTAACCCAAGTGATCAGTAGAGAGGTGTCTTTTCTAGATCCTGACTATATCAAATGATTGAATTGCCATCAATAGATAAAGGTGCTTTCCAAATGCTGACAATTTCAGATAACTGAGTTGCCAATCTAGAATTTTCAGCTTTGCCAGAAAACTTTTTAGCCTCAAAATCAAATCTTTTCAGCAGAAAGCAATTCTCATTGCAGCTATTGAGAATATACCAAATTTCATGTGGTTTCAGGTTCTGGATGCCGTCCTTGGGCACAATGACGCTTTGTTTAGGCGTGCTCAATTGAAAGCTCTTGTCTCAATACACGGCCAAGAGGTAACCATTTGGAATGAGTATTCTGATACTGTGATAACATCATCATGCATCCAGTGGCCACCAATAACATCAATAACAAGTGATGCCATAATATGACATCTCAATACACAGCCATCAGAAAGTGCATGGAATTGCTTAATTATTAAAAGTGTCTTGTCTTTTTCGCTTCCATTAACTTGCTATTTCCATCCAAATTAGGCTGGAAAAGGAGGCGAACTAACACATGATGAGACAACAATTATCAGTGGAGCTCTGGATTTAACTGAAAAGGTAGCTGCTATTGCTTAATTATTAAAAGTGTTCTGAAAGCATATTTTGTTCAAGTGCAGATCTTATCCAACGGAAATTTCTAATACTTTAAATCTCCCTGTTTTCTAAATGACTTTTCATTTGAACAACATAAAGTTACCATTTGAGTTGTGATCTCCGCTAACAGATGTCTGCTTCTAGTTATAAGACACCTCTCTCAAAATTGGCATTTTAAACACTGCAAAGTCTCATCCTATAAATAAAATGCAGAAAGACAATTTTACTCTTCAAGATTGCCATACTCTAATAATGAAGTTGTCATATTATGATTTGGTTGATGTAGACTTTTGAGGCAATGAGATCAACTGACTTGACTTGCAGGCTCATGAATTCAAGAATGTTTTGATAATGTAGATGTCATATTATAGTTTGATAGACTTCTGAGTGTAACAAGTACATTGGTTTGACTTACAAAATCATCAACTTACATCCAAATTTTTTATTGTATTGTGCTGGTTAAAGTGGTATTTGTCTTGTTTTACTCTTAGGCTATGTTTGGTTCAAGATACTAATACGTGGAGTAAGATTAAAATGATAATATCATTTTAATTTTATTTTCAATTTAAGATGGGTGAATTCTGATTTACCACCTGTCCTGGTAGGAATAAAAAATTATCAATAAGAAATTCATGTTATGACTAGAGTTAGTAACTTAGTTTGAACATGAAAATTTTGATCCTAGTCTATCCATCAAGAATGTCTAGTATTTAAGTGAAGGACTGGGTGAAAAATTGAAGTGGGAACTGAGCTAAACATGCTTTTATTGTTGTTGCCTTCCATGTTGCAAGTATCACTAGAGATCATTCCGATTCTTTACTTTTTGAAATGTATTTTGTGTTCCTTAAAATTTTGAGGCATTCATGCTGCTATTATTGTCAATTTCTATGAAGTTATCAAAATTTCTTAAGTTTTGTTTTGAAGTGTACAGACTGCAGAGGAGGCTATGACACCTATTGAATCAACATTTTCCTTGGATGTCAACTCCAAACTGGACTGGTGAGTCTGGCATCCTTTTCTTTTTCTTGCTTTTGCTTCTTTGGTTTTTATTTGAACGCAAGAAAGTTGCTGCCTTGTCATCTTTTCCACAGCAAAGTTGAAAGCTCAATTCCTAAAAATATATTTTAGCTAAAGAATCAAAATATAGATCGCATTATATCTGGTCTAGACTCTAAACAATCTGTGGAGGCAGAATAATGATTTATTGTTACCCAGAATCCTGTCTTATTTGGAGAGCTTGTCCCCATATCTACTTATATATACTAAGTTCATAAATAAGTTGTTTTCCCAAACACAGGGAAGCAATTGGAAAAATTCTTGCCCGAGGCCATAGTCGTGTCCCCGTCTATTCTGGAAATACAAAAAATGTTATTGGACTATTGTTGGTGAGCATGATAAATTGTTGCAAATATCTCAAGTTTCCTGAATCATTTCTTTTTGGTATCTGATTGTGGAAATTCTCTTTTTGAGAACCAGGTGAAAAGTCTTCTCACTGTACGAGCAGAGACAGAAACACCTGTCAGTGCTGTCTCTATCAGGAGAATACCTAGGCATGTCATTTTCTGTGGACTATCTCTTCTATTCCCATTTCTATTTAATCAGAAGTCTGTGATCTTGTGCATGTAAATTTCAGGGTTCCAGCAGATATGCCCTTGTATGATATCCTAAATGAGTTTCAAAAGGGAAGTAGTCATATGGCTGCTGTTGTGAAAGTTAAAGCCAAAACAAAGAACCCTCACCTTATTAGTAATGACAAAAATTTTGAGGAAAAGGGAACTTACAATGGGTATTCAGAGTTGGACATCCCCTTGCTAGCCAAGCATGATGATAAATTAGAAAGTTTTTGCGTTGATATTGACAAAGCATCGAAGCCTATTGCAAGCAACCTAAGCCACTTTCAACAAAATGGTGTTCCGCCAAACTGCTTGTCCTATTTACCAGAGGATATTGAAGATGGAGAAGTGATTGGCATCATCACCCTGGAGGATGTTTTCGAAGAACTTCTGCAGGTAAGCTCAGGCAGCACTTATATTAGGATTATCTATAGGTTTCAGGACCCATCTGCCCAAAATTTGCAGAAACTATGTTGGCTTAATGCTTCTATTTCCTCTCTATCTCTCCATCTTCATTTAACTAAGACTGCACTGTAATTTGTTCCTGTAACTTGCATGATGCATCATATTCCATTTTGGAAGAGTATGTGCTGTTTCTCTTCATATGCATGATCCATATTAATTACAATGTTCTTCTTTACTGATTCCCATTTACATGGCAGGAGGAAATTGTTGATGAGACTGATGTCTATGTTGATGTACATAAACGGTATTGCGGATTTGAGTTTTCAGAGACTGGTTCCCATTTACTGTTAGAATTACCTCAGTACTTTGGTAAGAAATGTATTTTGGCTTTTGCAGGATACGAGTGGCTGCTGCTGCTGCTGCATCATCCGTTGCACGGGCTCCATCAAATCGGAGACTGACTGGTCAAAAGTCCACTGTAAGTGAACAACATTCGACACACACCATACAAAGTTAAACAAGATTGTCACTTTTTTTTAGTGGAAGATCATATCTAACTAACAAGCACTTACTAATCCTATCAAATTTGAACTAGTCCAAAACCTCCATGAAGGGGCCAAGCATCTATGGAAATATCCACTCACAAGCATTATCTTTTTGAGTAGCATTGTACGCACACATATTAGCACATGCATTCATATGAGCTAAAGTTTTGAAAATAGTATACATGGCAAGAAACTATTGCCGCAGAATTCTACAACAGTCATGAACTGATCTGGAATTTGTAATTTCCTTGCAGGGTAATCAGGGTAGGCAGGGACAAACACAAAGAAGTTAGTCAAGGATGACATATACTCTTCAGTTATCTGGCAGATCATCTTCTGAACGGTAAGAGATGGCTCTATAACTTTGCCAAATCCTATACTTTGTTTCGTTCTGTTTGGTTTTTCTTTTTTCACCCTCGTAGTAAGGGCGCCCAGTTCACGTGTTGCATGTATCTCGTTCTTGGAAAATTATATGATTCCACGTCCTCCAGACAGTGAATCTCTTTTGGGGACTCACGTTTTTTTTTTTTTTTTTTTTTGGTGGGTTCGATGCTAACCTTCTATACAAATATGCCCTTTTGTTACTTTTTTTTGTGCATACTAAAGTCAGGAATCCTTGTAAATATTTGGAGGATAAATTTCGGTTCCTCGAGTGCGTTATTATGTTTGCTTCCATTGCCTTGATACATTAATGTTATCGAGGACTTAGTTGAATAGTTTGTTTTTCCTCTGCAATGTGGATGTTCCAAGAAAGATTTCTAAAATTTTTGGAATATCAAATCGAATGATTTGTATTTTTTTAAAAAAATAAATAAATAAATAAATGGTTCTTCTTAGTTGAGGTCTTAAAAAAGTTCGGATTGGAAAGAGTAGTAAAAAATTATATGTATTGTAAATCAGATATCGGACACAAAACTGTGTTTTAATCTAAAACCGGAAGTTCATTGGTAAAAAAAAAAAGAAAAATATTATGATTAAGAATCAAATGAATTAGTAAATACTTTCTAACTAATCTCAGAATTTTAGTAAAATAATATGAGAAGTCAAACATCTTTTTGGTATAAGTTTTTGTTTTGTTTTATTTTATTTTCGTTCAGTTATAGTCAAAAGTAAACTCATCTTTTTCTTTTTCTTTCTATTATAAAGCGAAATATAAAAATTGAATTTAATGATGATTACATTTCCTCCGTGATGTTTTAGTTGGTTACAAATACTAAAATTATATACTACATAAATTTCTTTACATATCATTCATCCTAGAAGGTATAATAATTTTTTATTTTTTTATATTTTATTAAAAATGTCTTTACTTTCATATAATTTTGTTCATATAAACAATATTTGTACCAAATTTTTAATTGATAATAGAAATTATATTCTGCACATAGTATATTGGAAGAATTTAGTTTTTCTTAGTAGTTTTATCGAGTCAAGTTGAGAAAGAGAGAAGCAGACAAATTTTTTATTGAGTTATTTCGGAATTTAGTAATTTGAAGATGATTGTATTAATAAGAAAAAATATGTTTAACATTAAATTGTTAAAAGCTCAAAAAAAGTTGTTAGTTTTAAACATGTTCTTTTTCTATATTGACAAATATTTTGTGATTTATGTAGTTAAAAAGTGTATTAAGTATTATTTTACCATAAAAACTAATAATTTTTTTATTATTTTACTAGAATCACTTGTAACATAATTTACAAAATAAATTTTGTATCCATTTTTTTAAGAAGTGTTTTTATAATACACTCAATTTTTAGGAAAATATATAATTTAATTTTTTCGTTACACTTTAATCTCTACTAAAAATATAATTATTTATTAAAACTAGGATAGAATTAATAAAAATTGTGTTCTTATGAGTGAGATAACATTTAACTTAAAAATTATAATAAATAATGAGACAAAATTAATTGTATTTATTAATTTTATCAAGATTAATCCACGATGGTGATAGAATTTCAGAGCTTATACAAAATAAAGTACATGCCCCATGAAAAGAATTATGGCATGGCTAGAAAGAGAGGAGGTGCTTTCGGAATGCAAAAATGAATAATGCATATGAAAAGTCTTAAAACCTAAAATTGATTTTTTATGGTGAAACTTTAATATCTTATTACTTAATTATAGAGAAATTATTGGAAGAACTTCAATTATTTAAAAATATTCAAAAAAAATTTTAAAGTACTTTTTAATTTAAAATTTTTCTTGACTTTTCAAAAACATAATATAATATCTTATTTTCGTTAACTTTATATAATAATGTCTATTGTCATTGACAAATGAAAACAATTAGAATTCAGTCTCATTCAATCACATAGAAACCCTTTAATTAATATATACAGGTGGAATCTAATTTTATTTGAATATATTTCTAAGATACAATATAAAATTCAATTGTGATTGAATAATTCACACAATAAAGGCTTAAATACATAAAAATATGACTTAAATTTTATAAACTAAACAATATTTCTACTAGATACTTATCAAAAATAAAAACCGAGAATAACATAAGAAAAAAAATATAGTGCACCATTATTTTAATATAAAAGCACAAAAGAAAATAAGTATTCAAAAGAAACTATTCATGTTATTACCATATATCCTCTCTCATCTCTCTCTTTTCTTCTTAGATAATTACATGTAAACACTTGGGTTCTTAAAAGTTTCACATCATGAATCTCATAAAATACTAATATTATAAATTAGTTAAAAATAAAAAATCTAACTCTCCATATCAATAAATTTAAAAAATTCACGATATAATTATTTTATTTTAAGTGTTCTATTAATAATAACAGATAGTAAAAAATTTTACTACGCTTTTTAAAATTTAAAAAATTTTTTGAATAAAAAATAATTTATAAAGAATTTTAAATATTTTTAAATAATTTAGAGATATTTAATATTTTAATGGAAAATTTTATAAGACATGTAATTTTATTTTTTAAAATAAAAAAGTCAATCGAAAAATAAACAAAAAATTTAAGTGAAACTGAAATAGTATTTTTGCCAACCGGAGACCAGATAGTCGAACAAAGCCGTGTACCGAATAGACGAAAATACCCCTCGTAAACATGGCAAAACGACGCCTAAATCCAGTTCCTTAGCTGCGTGGGTTTCCTCGTAGCTGCAGTTTTAGTTTTTATTTTCCAGAGAAAAAGCCAACCCTGAAAATACCGTACAGACTCTTCCTTTTCCCTTTCGCACTCTCCCCGACCCCTCTGTTTCCTTCTTGCAATCGCAGCTTTTGAAGGTAAGTTTCTTCTGTTTTTCTTTTTGTTTGTTTGTTGCCTAGAAAACACTTGAAAAGAAAAGAATCTTTTTCTTTTTCTTTTTTTAAATTTCCGTTCTCTAAGTAGTGAAGTTATTGTCTTTTTCTTCTTATCTCTTGGTATCTAACGGAAAATTACGGACTTTCGTGTTGATGTTCTATATTATCTTGATAATTTTACTTAGAATTCCCTCTTGGTCACTTGGGTATGGCCTTTTATTTTAGTTTTAATGTTTTTTCCATTTCCATGTTGCTCTGTTCACTTTTCCATCCTCTTCAGCTGATATACAAAAGAGAATTCCAACTCATATTTTCTTAATGCCGCTTGTTTTTTTTGGACTAGAATATTTGTAATTTGAGATCCATTAGGGTTTGTATGTGCATCCGAAATAGTATCTGGATTATCCATCTGCGAGTATTTTCGACTGTGGTGTTTAAAATCATTGTCTGAATGTAGATAATTACCTGTAATATATAAATCATGTTTATATAAAAAATTACTCCGAGTTTGTGGTTGAATAGTCTTTTTTTTTTTGCAGATTGGATAGTTCTGCAAAATGGGCTTCAATTTTGTTTATCGATCGTTGGTCGAGATATATCCGCAGGTATATCAACCTCAGTCACTGATAAAAACATGGGAGGCTAGTTTGATGTTCTTTTGCTATTCTTTTTTTTAAGAAAATATTTTATCATTTTTGGGATCTTATTTCTCGAATTTTATCTTGTGGAACATGGAAATGCAAATTATTTCTTTATAGATTCTAAAATGCTAGTGTGG